CAGTATGAAGGCCTGTCAAGATATTCCCCAAGAGCACATCTTTGAATTTTTTTTAAATCTTATTGTTATTATGATGATGAAGGGGAACAATATGATAACTTGACTTCTCTTGAGGGGGGGGAGAAGGGAGGAGTTCTCTTTTCTCACCTCCTTCGCTTGTTTCGTTCGTAAAAAGGTTAGGGATGTATCTGGCGGGTGCGGATCAATGTATGCCATCGAGATCGCGTCTGAGAGGTTTGTCGGGCTGTCGTTGGTAAGGCAACACAGGCTTGTGCATGAAATCCTTGGGGAGGAGGTTAAGGCGTGGCATGGGGTTCAGTTGAGAACTTTTGTTGCTTAGTTTTAGGCGATAGGGAGGGTAAGAAGGAAGGAAGGAAGGAAGGAAAATGGAAAATGGAAAAAGAAGTACCAGTACATATTATGATTCCGAATTTGTCACTGGAATCGAGGTTTTTTTTTTTTTTTACCTCTCCTTCCGAACGATCTAGTCAGGTTAGTCCAGTAAGTTTATAACCGAAAGGGGACAGCAGACGGAGAGAACGGGGGGGAGAAATAATTCACCAAATTAAGAAGATGATGGGTGGTGGGTGGTGGTGGGTGGGAAATCGTGAGCTGTCCTGTCCTGTCCTGCCCTGTCCTGTCCTGTCCCGATGGTCTAGTCTAGTTCTAACCATTCCCGCTAGTGGCGATGTAAATCACGATGGAGGGCATTAAAAACGTTTCCACATAATATCACACTTGTAAACTATGATATCGTAACTAAGATCTTCCTGAGAAGTCTAGAACTGGACTAGAAAGAAAGAAAGGAAGATGAGGAGGCTAAGCTGAAACCCGACCCGGTCAGTCGGTGATGACCGGAGGAGGAAGGGGGCGGAGACGAGGAAAAAAAACAAAAAAAAAAACACAAGGGTTGTTGGTGAAAACAAAAGTATCTATTATAAAACATCCTGGAGAGTGAGTGATCAAGGTGAAAAGCGGGATTGGGGGTATTATAATGATAATGGTAAAGCCAAACGGATATGAATACCGGTAGGAGGAGGGGTCATTTCAACAGGTAAGTGAAAAAAATACTTTGGAAACGCCACAAAAGAGGAAATCATGATCGATTGGGATCGATTTGGATACGAGTTGCGGGTTTTTTCTTTTCTTTTCCTTCTTCCTTTCAAATAGGAACAACTGTCAACCCTACCTCTGTACCTCGCCCACCACATCCAGGAAGGAAGAAGAAAAACTCAGCAGTAGTAATTAGACCACAGGTCATTTACTTCTTCTCGCGCTCCGCTTTGAGTTCGGCAACGGCCTTCTCCTTGGCCACCAAGCTTTCCCTCGCCTTGTCAATATGCTCCCTGACGATCTGAATGCCTGCATTGAGGCGGTCAAGTTCCATGGCCTCCGATTCCTCCGTGAACTCACCACGAGCACCCCTCGCGCGGCTGGGAAGCCTTGCAGACCCCTTGGAGGTCAGGATGTCGTACATGGCTTCCGTGGGCTCGTTGAAGGCCAGTTCATCGTACACGTACGAGAGGACGGGGCGACGCTGTTGCCTCGCGAGCTCGAGCTCCGCTTTGTCGCCGACGTACGGGTGCAGCTTCAGGAAGTGGAAACATGACTGTGGCTTCTCGCCCGACTCCGGCACGAACCAGATCTTGATGACTATCTCGAATTCTCCCCACCCCGTTTCCGATACCTCGAATGGCGGTGACTCGCAAGCTGTGGCATTTCACATATAAAACGTATTAGGGCTGGGCTTGATGTATGTATATATATACGTGGGGGGAGAGGGGGGGTTTACAAACTTCGTAGAGGGTTGGCATATGTGTCGTGTAGCTTGAACTGTACTTTTTTGATGAAGTGTGAAATGTCGGCGCCATCGACCCCCTTCACCGAGACGGTCCACTGGTGTGTGTGATCCGGCGGGAGGTTTGGCGGTTTCCTGTCCGGGTTGACAGGTGTCGCGATTGATCCGTAAACTTCACAAACCGTCAGTCAGTCAGCCGAGAGAGCAGAGAGAGGGGTATATTATTATTATATAATTCGTACCGAAAGGCCGGAAGATAGAGACACCCTAAACCCCATGATATATCATATGTCAGCTCACCTGAACCCTCCTCCCCGAAGGCAAGTGGGGGGGGAGGCCTTACCTTTACTCGTTTCGTATTCGAGATTGACGGCATCTTCAACTTTTTATTTATGTGTGTGTGCTCACGCCACAAGCCTGGAGATGGAACTTTTCTATGATGGATGGTGGTTGAATCTCGTTTGCGTGTGCGTTCGTGGCTGGCTGGTCGGTGTGGATGTTGGTTGACTGAGGTGAGGAATGTTCATCGATAACAGGGATAAGCTTTGACAAAACAGTTGTCATTTGGAAGGCGAGAGCGCGCCCGTGCGCGAAAATCACGTGAGTCCCCCTGCCACAGTATGATACTTGCAACGCTTCGATGACGTAAGAAAACACTTAAAAAGGCCAGAATATTCATGAGTAAGCAAAACCAATTGCAGTTTGATACCGGTGTTCAAGCACAGCAATAGACTAAACGAAACTCGCGTATTACAAGTATGATACAAGTATGGTACCATTTGGAACCATTCACCTTAACCATCTCTAACACCCTACGGTGCTCGAGTACTTGGTGCACGACAGTACTGGTACTACTTTGTAGTAGTCTATTGGGTAATGAGAGAGGCTGGATAGACTACACCTTAAATAAAAGGTCCTGAAAGCGCGCTAACAATGATTTTGATTTAATTAATTCTGATTTGGTAGCTATTTTGTTTAATATGCCTCGAGGTGGGTGTGATATGATACTGTATCATACCTCCGTTGTTGCCAAGACCTCGCCGTAGCAACCCCACCTTCCAACCCCAATCATACTCGTAGGCTGGCCACAGAGTAAAATTTATGAAACAAAAGACTGTCGTCTTCCCGTACGCCGTCTCTCTCTGACGTCCATGCCGTGACCCGCCCATGTTCACCGTGTCGTGAGTGGACGGATCCTCCTCCCCGGTGGAAATTGGGCTGGGAGGTTATCGTACCGTATGATAACCACCCTACCGTAATCGTAAATAGCAAAACCTCAAGTCACGCACTAACCACTTACGGAAATTATCATACTTCCAGCAAGTACAGTTTTTTTTTAAAAAATCCTCGCTTTGTTTGTACTTAGTACAGGAAAATCCATAGCATCGACCCGAAGGTATGGCTTAAAAATCCAAAAACATAAGAAACATCTCCCCCCACAAAAATAACAATTTAATGATATAATATCAAAATACTCCAAACATATTGCCTAAAGCAATTTTAAAACCCATGACATTAAAGCCAAACCCCTCATAAAAGGAAAATCCCCCATCCCCACTGGAAAATTTATCTTCCCTTTCATCATATAGGTAACCAAACCCTTCTCCAGTTTGAGTTCCTCCTTTCCTTGTTTCCACAGCCTTGACTCAGGGGCCATGTTAAAACAGTCTGCCAGGGCACTCTCCCTAGCCTTTGCCAAGGCTGGGCAACTAATTACATGTTCCAATAACTTGTCCTCCATGTGATACCTGCCATACAGCTTTGTCCGGTCCTGGCTTGACCAATCTGTCTGTGTACTTAAATAACTTTTATGTACCCTCATCTGATGAATCCTGCCAGCCTGAAACTTTGGAAGCAATATAAAGCTCCAGTAGTCTCTGAACCAAGTCCTATATTCATAATAAGTTGGGTATTTCCAATCTACCCATTTCTTCCATATTCTTTTTTGCATCCTTTCCCTAGCCTTCCGATACTACTCTGCATTCTTCCTGCATGACTTGAAAAAGTTTGGTTAACTTTATTTAGGATTTCGAGTGTTTGAAATATTTTTTGGCCCTTGGCAGCTCCCTGGCCCTTGAAAGCTAGACTTTGTTAAGTTGCGGTTGAGGTGGAGTACTAAACTTTTGGCCCCCAACCTCCTTATTGGCGGCAAAAAATA